GTGGGGATTAAACTCCAAACTCATGCTGCAATGGCTGCGGATAGCTTCATAATGCTGAGACTTAACTCTTTGCACCAACAGGGAGACCCATGGCGGGGTTGGGGGGAAGGGGTTGGTGGCAGGAGATCTTATAACACCAGCACAAGCAAGGTGGAAAGACGGGCAGGACCACTCAGGCAACACCACAAGCAAGAAGTGTCATTTTCTTCTGCAATTAGCAACATCACAGGCCACATAAGGGAGGTACAATCAAGTACTTCTAGTGGGAACCGAAAGGATCTATTTTCATAAATTTAGTAATCTTTGCTACAGATTCTCTGTGTAGCCAGTGGTAATTCATAATATGAGTTAATGAAATATTTAATAGTTTAACAAATTATTAGGATTGATCCAAGTAGTACTTCATTTGTGTTTTTGTTATACACAAAAACATTAAAATGTCCAAGGAGGAAGAAATCTGAAGAAAAGATCAAGGATTTGAAAGCTCTCTGCTTTGTCATAGAAGAGATGAAATTGTGCAAAACATAGTTACTTGTGTCTTCCGGATTTGGGTCCTGTCCTGCCAAAGGAAATCTTTCTTCCATCCATCCACCTCTCTTCTTTCCCATCATTCAACAGCAAAATGAGTGTCTAGCCAGAGCTTTTTGTACGATCCAGGTTTGATCAGCTTTATCGCCAGTGTCTGTCCTGTCTACACAATAAGAGTAATTGGGAGGGTGGGAGTGGGGGGAAGTGTGTGTGTGTGTTGTGGGGGAGTGTAGGGTAAGGAAAAATGTCAGGCTTTTCTGCCCTCCTGCCATCAGGAGAGATGATGGATCCTTGCGGTCCTGAATGCATGTCTGATGGCGGGCACCTGGAGTAGGGTGTGGGCATAGGTAGATGGGGTTCACCTGGGCTAAGACTGTGTTTTTAAGGGCGGCATCACGGGACACCAGTAGAAGCCAAAAGAGAAGCCGAGAGAGAAGCAAGAGAAGCAGAAACTGAGAGAAGGCCGGAGAGCCTAGAGTCTTCCTACCTGCTGGGGGCTGGGAGGCCTGCCAGCTTCCCGGCCCTCCAGCACCCCTGCGTGCCATATGCCTGGTGAACCCCAATAAAAGGCCTGCAAAACCACTGAGGACTCTGACTCCTCCTTTACCCGGTCTGCTGGATCCTAGAAAACCTGCACTGTGTCCCTTCCTGCCCTTACAGGGGGCTTTCTCCATTACCTGAGCCTCAGACTGGGAGAGGAAAGCGTTTGCCAGGCGCGTTTATTTGGCAGCTTCTGGGGAGGATCGGGTCGGGAGATTCGCCCCACTTCTCGGGGTGCTAGGCGGGGAGGGACAAGGGCTCGGAGACACGCTGGGGCCTCGGACGTCGCACCCCAGCACCCTCCTCCCCCACGCGGGTTTAGGTCCTTCCTAGGCCCCTCCACCTTGAGTAGTGCTTTCCGTTCGCTTTTAATTCACAATCACGGGCGATCTGCGATCAATGGGGAACGCCGGGTCCGCGCGTGGGGAGCCCCCCTAACTGCTGGGAGGTGACTTTATTCCTGCGACCTGGACAACAGGGACCCGCAAGCTTCGCGGCCTCGCAGTTGGGGTGGGTGGGGTGAACCAGAAGAAGGCAGGAGAGGAGAATGACGAGGGAGTGAACTGTCTCGGTGAAAGGGGAATGGAAAGAGCAAGTGAGAAGTTCCCCGGGATGTGAGGTTCACAGCGAGGGAGCCAGCAGCGCCCCGGAGACGGAGACTCTGCGACCCCCGTGGGGTGTAAGCTTAGAAGACCGGGGTGGGGGCGGGGCGGAAGGGGGCCTCCGTTACCTTGGAGATTTTAAAGCCACCCTGTCTCCATCACGGGAAATCCGTTGCTTCCCAGGTGCAAGTATTCGGTTCTTTGTGAAAAGAGGATACTCAAATACGGCTGCTGACAGTCACACGTATATAGCAGAGGAACTCGGTTCAAGTTCAGATGCCATCCTAGGAACTATAAAACGTCTGTCCTGGGGCATCTCAACAAGATTCAAAGCCAGGTTGCTGGATTCAAAACCTAGAGCACTAATCATCTCACCACAGGGTTGACAGAGACACTATACAAGTTAGACATACTTCCGTGGTTGTGATATCTCCTTGATAGTTTTGCAGGAGCTCCAAACCAAGAGTTAGTGCAGGCTTCAGTGAGAGCACCCTGGTCATGAAAGCTGATGCCTTGTTGTTGCTGAACAAGAGGCAACAGCAAAATATAATTCTAGGCAATCCAGGCACTGTCACGTGCCCTTCTGTTGGGAGCATAAATTAGATTTCAGCAGAGGTGGGTCACTTTTGGGCCAGTCTGAAGCCTACACAATTTAGCAGGGGCAGGGGAGCTCTTTAAGTAAAGAATAGACATTATCAACACAATCAGATATGGCCATTCCAAGGATGAGTTGGAGTAGAAGGTGGCAGCAGTCTTAACTAATTTCTATTGTAATATACTTTCGCAAAGTTTACAAGAACATATTTCATACATGGCAATCCCTTCCTGGGCCTTTGAAAGGTTCTATGCAATTGAGAGGTCTTAATGCACTTAGTGAGAAAAATCATGATGAATACGTCTCCAAAAGGCAGTTTGCAATATCTATCAATATAATCTCTAAACTTTTTCTTTTAAAAAGTCATCCTGCAGAAATACATATATATATATATGCATATTCATTGTAGTATTTGCAACACCAGAAGCTTGAAAATGTGCCCAATCCATTTAATTGATAGAACATACAGCTACTACAAAGAATGGGATGGATGTAACAAACATGTTGGTTTGGCAGTTTCTGGAGAGGATTTAAAGTTTAAAACAAAGAATTCCCAGCAACTTGCTGCATTGCCATGTATAGCATGCTCTAATTTCTGTCAGGCGTAATTAGTAAGTTTATATATTCACTTTTTAAAAAAATTTTTTTAAGATTTATTTATTTTATACAAGAACCAGGGTACAAACCAGATGTGCAGGAGGGTGAGAGGATTCACTAGAGACAAAGCGGGGAATAGGACAGGCAGACTGACGAAATATACTGCTGAGGGGAGCAGCTGGCCAGACAGGAGAGGTCTGCCCCACCATATGGGACCCTCGCTGGCCGAACCGGCGCTGCAGAGGCTGCGGACAGCTTCACAGCGATGTGCTCAACCGCCTGAGCCACCAGGGAAGGTCCTATATTCACTTTTAAATAAGTTCAAGGAATATACATGAAACTTTTGGCCTCAATTTTCTGAGAAAGGGAATTGGAAATAGACTTTTCCCGATTTGCAATATTCTCTTTTTGTTATTTTGTGGATATATTTTTTGTTTACAAGTGTGTATGTGTGTGTGTCACTTTAGTAATTAAAAATGCAAATTTATAAAAAAAAATTAATGCCCTTCAGTAGAGGACTTAGAATTCATGTTTACTTCACAGTCACTGCTCAGCCTGGCCTTGAAGATGAAAGAGGAAATAGAATCCTTGGCTGCAAAAATTAAACTGATTTGTGGAAAAGCAGAAAAGTTAAGTGGCACATATTAATCGTGGCAAGGAAAATGAATGGCGAGGCTCCATCTTTACCCCTTTGGAAGCTGATGACTGACACATGGACAAAAATTTTATATACAATTTCACCTCACTTTAGAAACTCACTTGAGACCGGTCACAGACCCCAAACGTAAGACTTTTTTTTTTTTAAGATTTATTTATTTATTTACTTATGCAAGCACTGGGTACAGTCAGAAGTGAGGGAGGGTGAGAGAATTCACCAGAGCCAGAGCGGGGAACAGAACAGGCAGACTGAGAAATACACTGCTGAGGGGAGCAGTGGGCACAGCAGGAGAGGTCTGTCGCGCCATGTGGGACCCTCGCCAGCAGGCGGCAGGCGGGGATCGAACTGGCGCTGCAGAGGCTGCGGGCAGCTTTGCAGCCCAGCACTCAACCGCTGGGCCACCAGGGGAGGCCCCGTAAGACTTTTTAGTTCAGAGATTTCCAAAAGAAATGTGCTGATTCTTCAAAATCTCAATCAGAAAAGCCAAAATGTGAGAAATTATCAGTAGGGGCCAAAGTGGGAGGGACGAGGGAATGGGGAAGAGGAAACATCCAGCAACTCAACAAACATTCCTCGTGCATCTATCATTTATCGAAGTTCTCTTAACAAGGCCTTGATTGGGATGGAAGAAGAGGAATCAAGTAGGTTCTTGCAATGATTCTTGCGCTTCCAGACTCCTGGCAGAAGTTCATGACCTGCGCCTTTTCCTCTTGCATCGGAGTCTTCTCTTTGGTTAATTGCACCCTCTCTGCTACTGCCAGCTCCGTGACTTTCGTATATATAGCATAGCAAAGCGCTGTCTTAAGGAGCATAAGCCAGGTGGGAATTTTCTGCTTGCTCCACTCTAGTGACTCACGAGGCTCTGAAAACATCCAGATTCTGCTTGTTGGTTTTCTGGGACCAGTTTCCCACGCTCGTTTATTTCAGGGCTCAGAAAGCGAGAGGAAGCAGAAACAGCTCCAGCTGCCATTAGGGGAAAGTTCACTCTTTCTGGGGCTTGGTGTTCCCGTCCATCAGATGGAAAGACGTAACCTCCTCTTACAGTTATTTCTCAGGACTGACTCGGAGCGACCGGGACAGGAGAGGGTGGCCCGTTACTAGCTAGAAAAGGCCGTGGCGGCGCCGCCCCAGGAGCGAACTTGGCAAACGCAGCGGGGAAGCGCTTCCATAGTAACCGTAGGGTGCGGCGGTGAGCACTGAGCGCGGCGGCAGTTTATCAGCAGGACGAGAAAACCCAGCTTCTCCAGAGACTCCCCACAGTGGGGGCGCCCCCCGCCCCCACCAAGGACCGCGGGGTAACTCTAGAGTTAGATCTCAGCCAGGTGCGGGATGCGCGTCGCCTCGTGTTTACTAGTCAACCCACCGCGACCATCGAGACGACGACACTTCCTGGAACCCTAGAGCGGACAGGAAATGAGGCGGAGGACCGGAAGTGGGGCGTGGCCCGGGAGGCGGGAACGCGCTGGGTGGTTGCCTGGTTCTGGGGCGCGGCACTTTCCGGGGAGTGTCGTCCTCCGACCGCTCCTTCGGCTTGGCGGGGGCGATCTCTGCTCCCCGGAGGTGTGAGCCGCTGCTGAGCCAACGTGGTCCCTCCCGGCGACGGCCGGGCCTCTCACGCCCCGTGTCGGCCTGGACTGCGAGGTGCTGTGGCTTCGGACCGACCCTCTCCCTGATTTTCTTGCCTGGACTCGTGTCCCCAGGCTTAGTAAGGGCCAAAGTGTACTGGATAAACTCAGTTTTCTGTCTCCACCCAGTTGAAGACCTGGTGGCATTATTGACTAGCTCTCTGCTCACTCCTGGTCTTGTCACTTTCAATGGAATTGCTCTGGTAACTTGTCACATAATCAAGTCCTTTTTGTCTGCGATTGTAATTTTTTTCTGGGCTAACCGTATCTTCTTTCATCGCACTTTCCTGACCAAGGATTGGGTGGGGACCTCAAGGAAAGTCAGCCATCTCCCTCACCCCAATTGGAAAGAGCCTTCCTCTGAGCTGTGTAAGCTCAGGATGGCAACAAATTCCGGGGCCCTTGAAGCCTCGGCTGGCCAGGCTGCGGAGGATCAAGGGGAGATCATCAAAGTAAAGGTTAAGGAAGAAGACCATATTTGGGATCAGGAATCCTGCCTACAAGGGAATCTGTCTCAGACCAGGGAACACTCTCGCCAGCGCTTCAGGCATTTCTGCTATCAGGAGACACCTGGACCCAGGGAGGCGCTAAGCCAACTTCGGGAACTTTGCCACCAGTGGCTGAGACCAGAGATGCACACCAAGGAGCAGATTCTGGAATTGTTGGTGCTGGAGCAGTTACTGACCATCCTGCCCGAGGAGCTCCAGGCCTGGGTGCGAGAGCACCATCCTCAGAGCGGAGAGGAGGTGGTGACTGTGCTGGAAGATTTGGAGAGGGAACTGGATGAACCTAGACGACAGGTGAGAAATTGAAGGTGCCAGTTTCTGTGGAGGATTTGAGTGCTTGGATCCAAGGTGGAGTAAGTGGGATTAACTTTACATTGGTGGCTGCAAATTGCAGTGTGGAGCTTTATTATTTGATCACTGCTGTAGATGAACAGATGAATACAGTTTTTGTGTGATAGCTAAGTAGGTGATTTAACCAAATGGGAAATCTTGATCCATTACCAGTAAGAAACTATGTTGTATCTAGTGACTGAGATTAGCGTTGCTCTCTCTTCTTATAATGTCCAGAACTTTTGCCATGTATGAAAACAAATCAATGTAAGAATATAAAGAATACCTTCTAGGAGAGACATGGAGAAGTAGGCCAATATAATGGAAATATCAGGGAATGATGAATTAGAAGATGTGGACTTTGTAATAGACTCTGTCACTCATGAGCTGTATAACCTTGATGGTATCACACTTGCTCTGGGCCTCAGTGTCTTCTTTGCAATGAAGAGATTAATTGTATCATCTAGATACTTTTCAGTACCTGTAGTTGTTGGTACACAAGGAGTATTGAGTTCAGCATTCTATTTTTTTTTTAAAGATTTATTTGTTTATTTATTTATACAAGCACTGGGTACAGTCAGAAGCGCGGGAGGGTGAGAGAACTCACCAGAGCCAGAGCGGGGAGCAGAGCAGGCCGAAGGACCGAGGTACACTGCTGAGGGGAGCAGCAGGCGGCAGGAGAGGTCTGCGCGCCATGTGGGACCCTCCTCTGGTGGCCGGGGATCGAACCGGAGCTGCAGAGGCTGCGGGCAGCTTCGGAACCCAGCGCTCAGCCACTGCGCCACCGGGGAGGCCCCAGCATTCTATTTTTTACCATTGCACTAGAGATTATTTTTAAGAGTATACTTGCTGTCTGTGCAGTAATTTTGGAACATTATATTGCCAAACACTTCCATTTTACTATTCATAATTTCTCGTAACATTTTGTGTATACAATTGGATCAGTTAAGATATATTTTTCTGGAATGTTAAAACTTTCATATAAGATTGTACACAGGGGGGGGCCTCCCCGGTGGCGCAGGGGTTAAGACGCAACCCTTGAAGCTCACCGCAGCCACCAAAGCACAGGTTCGATCCCCAGCCAGGGAGGGGACCCACATGGCGTGGCAGACCTCCCCTGACTCTGCCCGCTGCTCCCCTAAGCATTGTATTTTGGTCGATCTCCCTGTTCTGTTCCCTGCTGTGTCTCTGGTGAGTCCTCTCACCCCCCAAAACTCTGGCCTGTATCCCAGTTCTTGTATGTATAAATAAATAAATCTTAAAAGAAAAAAAAAGATTTTACACAAGGAAGTGCTGAAATTGTGCTGGCTTATGGGTGAGTTTTTCCAGCAAGTTGTAAGAACTGCAGAATACAGGCCATCTGGTTATAGCCAAATGCAGAAAGTGGTGAAGACATACAGTACTGGGGGCCTCCCTGGTGGTGCAAGGTGTTAAGCAGTCAGCACTATGAAGCTATCCGTAACTACTGCAGCATGAGTTTGATCCCCAGCCAGGGAGCTGACCCACGTGGCCCAGCAGACCTCTCCTGTCTCTCCCTCTGCTCCCCTCAGCAGTGTATTTCATTCAGTCCGCCTGTTCTGCCCCCCACTCTGTCTCTGGTGAATCCTCTTGCCCCTCCTCTCCCAACCTCTGGCCTATACCCCAGTTCTTGTATGCATAAATTAACAAATCTTTAAAAAAAAAAAAAAGACATACAGTCCTGGACATAACCCCCATTCACGTCCACATCCTCCTTTTTGGCTTTCTTGAACACAATCTCTGTTTTGGAAGTGATTATTTGCACGGTTCCCTCCCATATTTGTGTCTCTCTTTCTAAACTTTTTTGTATTCCAGAAAATGAGCCAGCAAAGGGTTTTGCAAGTGCCATAGAAGCATGCTGATGATAATACAGTGGGGAGGAGGAGAAACGATATTTTTCAAATGGATCTGCTCATTACCTTAACTAAGTGATCAAATTTAGCATTATCAATAATGAAATAGCTTGATAACATGTATCTTGTGATGTGACACAGTAAATATATATCACTTACCAGAATCTGTTAGTGAAAACAATGTTTAAGCATTAACTAGCTTGTAGGCTTAAAAATACATTGTTTGAGGGGACAACTGAGGAAATTTAATTTAACACCATATACTAGTGTAAGGAGAGTATAATGGTTTTTTTTTTTTTCCTTCACCCAAAACAGTTATCCAACTTGATTATTTTTTTCAGTAACATACTTTTTATCCACAACACACTGGGCTAATGTTTTCCACATTTGTCTAAAACAAACATCATATTCCTTCTGGGATCAAAAGCTAATTAGTTTATATTAGATAATTTGTATATTCCTCACCCCAAGTATTTACTTCTCATTGTTCATACTGAAACTCCTTATAATTTCCTCTCAGTTATCAAAATTTTTTTTCATTTTTTTATATTAATTTTTTTATTTTTTTACATCATTGTTCATCATTAAACAATATTTGCTTCCTCCCCCTCAGTTATCAAAATTTTGAACAGATTCCTTTATTGTGTTTTTGATGTTGTTTCAGAAACCACAGGAAGAACTACTAGCTCCTTTTACTGTCTTTATTGGGCCAGTGTATTTTGTTTCTCATTCCACCTTGTACTCTTCTAAAGATTCAATGAAAACTTTTTTTTTCTCCTTATAGTCTACTTCAGTAGAAGAATGTTTTTAGGTTTAGCTATGGTTTGTACAGTGATTACTTACATTAACTCAAATGTACCTGTTTGTCCCCAGGTCCCACAAGGCCCATTTGGGCAGGAAGTTTCTATGGAAGAAATGGCTCCTCTGGAAGCTACAAAGGAACCCTTAGGTACCCAGCTCCAGTCTTTGGAAGACAGGATGGACTGTGACTCTCCAGAGCCACACACACTTCAAGATAATGGTGAGGATAATAGTGTCTGGAAGGAAGATGAGATTTGGGAGAGGAAAGGTTCTAGCCACTGAAAATTTTCCAAACTTCATCCCATTCACACTTCTACTGAATATGGCTACAGGGAAAAAAAAATCAGCCAGTCTAGTGCTAGATTAATAAAGTTGCTGAACTAAGCAGTCAGGGTAATCCTGTAAAAAATAGTTGAATATAAGCTTTTCCCTGCTTTTCCTTTGCAATGGAGTTAAATACCTATGGATAAATCAGAGCTGTCACTCTATGTAAATGTTAGGAGCATTTACATATGTCCCATTTCTACAACCTCGGTCCCCAAATTTTGTCACTTAAGACTTGGAAATACTACTTAGAAATTCTACAGAAGGGGCCTCCCCAGTGGCGCAGCGGTTGAGCGCTGGGTTGCGAAGTTGCCAGCGGCCACTCCGTCGCCAGTTTGATCCCCGGCTGCTCCCTGGCCACTCCCCGGCCTCCGGAGGAGGGTCCCACATGGTGCGCAGACTTCTCCTGCCTCCGGAGGAGGGTCCCACATGGTGCGCAGACTTCTCCTGCCTCCCGCTGCTCCCCTCAGCAGTGTACTTAGGTCCTTCTACCTGCTCTGCTCCCCGCTCTGGCTCTGGTGAATTCTCTCACCCTCCCACACTTCTGACTGTACCCAGTGCATGTATAAGCAAAACAAACAAACAAATAAATAAATAAAACATGTCTCTATTAAAAAAAAAAAAAAAAAGAAATTCTACAGAAGGGGGTCTCCGTGGAGGTGCAAGGGGTTAAGATGCAGCCTCAACCTATGAGGCTGTCCGCAGCAGCCATGACCAGTTCGATCCCCAGCCAGGGAGCTACCCACAAGGCGCAGCAGACCTCTCCTGACTCACCCGCTGCTCCTCTCAGCAGTGTATTTCAGTCAGTCTGCCTGTTCTGTTCCCCACTCTGTCTCTACTGAATCCTCTCACCCCCCACACCTCTGGCCTGTACCCCAGTTCTTATATGCATAAATAAAAAAAATCTTTAAAAAAAAATTCTACAGAAGGAAATGGAATGTCTAAAGTTATGTCTATTAGAGATCCTACAGTGCAATGTGGAGTGGAGGCAGGAGCACCGGCTGGCCTAGTTCTGGAGCAACTGTCTTTTCCAAAAGGCTTAAGTATAACCAATACATATTTTTCCTCCTCTTATAGCTGTACCAACTCCCTATTCCCTGCTTATCCTAGACCTACTAAAATCAATTTGAATAACTTCTGGAGCTCAGAACTCCCTGGTTGTTATTTACATTGCTATAGCTTGCCTTTTCTGCTCATGGCTTCATAGAAAAGCACACACTATATCAGTGTGGGAAGAAATACTAGCCATATAATGTTCTCTTCAGTCACATTTGGAGATAACACTACCAGGGCTGTCATCTTCATTGTAAGTTAGTCAATTTTGATGTAGCCCTTTTTCTTTTCTTTTTTTTAAGATTTATTTTTTTATTTATGTATACAAAAACTGGGTGTAGGCCAGAGGTGCGGGGTGGGGGGTGAGAGGATTCACAAGGGACAGTGGGGAGCAGAACAGGCAGATCTACTGAAATACACTGCTGAGAGGAGCAGTGAGGAGGCAGGAGAGGTCTGCTGCACTATGTAGGTCACCTCCCTGGCTGGGGATGAACTCATGCCGCAGTGGCTAGCTTGATAGCACTGAGACTTTAATCCCTGTGCCACCAGGGAGGCCCTGCAGCCCTTTTTTCTATGTAGTAATATGTTAGATGATGGAAAGATACTAGAGAAATAAGTGATCCCTACCTCTTCATAAACTTAAACTCTTGCTCTACATATGAAGCTATAAAAGAAAAAAGCATTACACTAGTTTGTGTTATGAATAAATTATGTCTTTCAAGAAAGGAGAATTCAATGTGAATTTAAATTAAATGATCAAGGAATTCTTATTGGAACAATTGAGAATTAAGTGAAACCCAAACACCCAGTAACATATCATTAATATACTTTGTTTTGGAAATTATGAACAATTAAGTATGGTTTAAAATTTGCCAATTCAACATGCAATTTGCAGCAACATGGATGGAGCTGGAAGGGATCATGCTCAGCGAAATAAGACAGAAAGAAAAAGAAAAATACTGGATGGTCTCACTCATAGCAGGAATCTAGAAAACTTAAATAAGAGACCAGGAAAAATAATATATCAAAAGAATATATCAAAATATATAAAAGAAAGAAAATATCAAAATCAACAAACAACTATGAACCAGAGATACTCTATGGGGGGTGGCGGGCGGGGAAAGGAGGGCTTGGGGTCAAAATAAGGGGGTTGTAATTGTAAGGGGAATATAAAAATAAAATTTAAATTAAAAATAATAAAATTTGCCAGTTCAATATGTGTTATAAGAATAGGTAGTTTAAACAATGTTGACTTGAGAGAAAGTATTTTTCCCAAGCAGCTATAAGACTATTGTTGACACTAATTCTAAATAATTCAAGACTGTATGTATTTTATTTTATTTTATTTTTTTTTAAAGAAGAAACTTTTTTTAAAATTTATTTATTTATACAAGATTGATTGATTGATTGATTGATTCAAGCACTGGGTACAGTCAGAAGCACGGGAAGGTGAGAGAATTCACCAGAGCCAGAGCAGGGAGCAGAGCAGGGAGAAGGGGAGGGGAGCAGCCGGAGGCAGGAGAGGTCTGCACGCCATGTGGGACCCTCCTCCAGTGGCCGGGGAGCAGCCAGGGATTGAACCGGCGCTACAGAGGCTGCGGGCAGCTTCGCAAGCCAGCGCTCAACCGCTGCGCCACTGGGGAGGCCCAACTGTATGTATTTTAAATTACATTCCTATACATTCTAATTGTTTTTTTTTTTTTCTTTACACATTAGGGTCATTTTTGTGGCTTTCCATGATGTCTCAAAGCATGGGTGATGATAACCTCAGTAGCTTGGATTCTAATGAAGCAGAAATTGAACCAGAAAACATGAGAGAAAAATTTTTCAGAAGCTTAGTAGTGTTACTAGAAAATAAAAGTAATAATACCAAGATATTTTCTAAAGCAAAGTACTGTCAGTTAATAAAGGAAGTGAAAGAGGCTAAAGCTAAGGCAAAAAAGGAGTCAGTTGACTATCGTCGATTGGCTAGATTTGATGTGATTCTGGTACAAGGCAATGAGAAGCTGATTGAAGCTGTAAACGGAGACACAGATAAAATACGGTATTATTTACACAGTGAGGACTTATTTGACATTCTGCACGATACACATCTCAGCATTGGACATGGCGGACGTACCCGCATGGAAAAAGAGTTACAAGCAAAATATAAGAACATCACAAAAGAAGTTATTATGCTATACTTGACACTCTGCAAACCTTGCCAGCAGAAAAATTCAAAACTCAAGAAAGTTCTAACTTACAAGCCACTTAAGGAAGTTAACTCAAGATGTCAAGTGGATCTTATAGACATGCAATTGAATCCTGATGGGGAGTACAAATTTATTATGCATTATCAAGACCTTCGTACAAAGTTGAGCTTTTTGCGGGCATTAAAATCTAAAAGACCTAAAGAGGTTGCGCATGCTCTGTTAGATATTTTTACAATCACTGGTGCCCCCAGTGTCCTACAATCTGACAATGGGAGGGAGTTTTCAAGCCAGATTGTCAGTGAACTCAGTAATATTTGGCCAGAACTGAAAATTGTCCATGGGAAGTCTCAACCTTGCCAAAGTCAAAGTTCTACTGATCAGACTAATGAGGACATCCAAAATAGGATTATCTCCTGGATGCAAACTAACAATTCATCACACTGGGCTGAATTTTTATGGTTCATTCAGATGACCCAAAACCGTTCCTATCACAGAGGCATGCAGCAGGCTCCATGTGAAGGTCCTTTTAGCTCTGAGGCTAAACTGGGCCTGTCTCATTCTCAGTTAACTGAAGAGCTTGTTGCCAGCCTGAACACAGATAATGACTTAGAACAGCCTGACAGAGAGTTAGAAAATACTCTAAGAGCGCACTATGAAGAAAACACTGAGACCGGCACAGAGAGTAGTGACATTGAAGAGAATCTTTCTCTTCCTCCCCTGGTGGCCCAAAGAAACCACCCTGAAAACAGACTAAAATTTTTATCTTGTGTAGTCTGTGAAAAAGAGTGCACAGGTGCTAATAGTTGTATGTCCTGTGACAGGAATGTCTACCCCGTCTGTGGCGTCCCCTCTTCACATGAGGCTGAGGGCTGTCACCATAGAATAACTTGCAGTCTCTGCAATGAGACCACTGCTGTGAAGAGGAAACAGAGTGAGATTCAAAGAAGCTTGAATGTTCAACCTTCAAAAATGCTGAAGTCATCAGAGACACCTTTTTCATCCAACAAAGTAGGAGATTGGGTAAGAGTTTGAGTGTCTGCTATAGACCAAAGCAGAGGAGAGCCTCTTTACACTTTGCTGTGACCATGATGAGTGAGAATTTTTTAAAAAAAGATTTATGTATTTATGCATACAAGAACTGGGGTACAGGCCAGGGTGTGGGGGTAAAAGGATTTGCCAGAGACAGAGTAGGTAATAGAACAGGCGGATTGACCAAAATACACTGCTGAGGGGAGAAGCGGGCAAGATAGGAGAGGTCTGCTGCGCCATGTGGGTATTTCTCTGGCTGGCCGGGAATTGAACTCTTGCTGCAGAGGCTGCAGATAGCTTCACAGTGCTGAAGCTTAACACCTTGTGCCAACAGGGAGGCCCTGAGTAAGAATATTTTTTTTTAATGATTTATTTATTTATGCATACAAGAACTGGGTATAGGCCAGAGTTGGGGTGTGGGGTGAGAGGATTCACCAGAAACAGAGTGGGGAACAGAACAGGTAGACTGACTGAAATACACTGCTGAGGGGAGCAGCAGGCAAGTCAGGAGAGGTCTGCTGCGCCATGTGGATAGCTCCCTGACCAGGGATCGAACTTATGCTGCAGTGGCTACGGCAGCTTCATAGGTTTCGTCTTAACCCCTTGTGCCACCAGGGAGGCCCCTGAGTGACAGTGTTTTGACGTGATATGTTAAAGCACCACGCAGGCCATCTTTGATATGTTTTCTCCAAAGAAAGGCCCTCCCCCACTTCTTTTGTTCAAGTTGGAAGTTACAGCCTTCAGTGCTGCTTTATTTTTGTTCTGGGGTGATGAGCAATATCTTTTTATTCCTTTCTGATGTTGATACCAGGCATTTCTTAAGAAAGTCACAATCACGGGATAAATGGTGTGTTTGATGGTATGTTTTCTACAGAAAAATTAATTTGGGAACGGTGAATTTAATGTTACTTTCTTTTAATGGTTTGTGAGTCTGGATGGGAGATATGCTAAGAAAGAACATTTCAGATCAAGTGAAGAAATATTTAGGAAGGGGAGGGGATGATAACTTTGGTTGTTGGAAGATAAGGATTTGGGTTGGGAAAGAATTCAGGCTTTAGATTTAAATGCAGAATGAGGCTAAATACTTTTTTTTTATTGAAGTAACATTGGCTTACAAAATATAAGCTCAAGGGGCCTCCCTGGTGGTGCATGATTTAAAAACACAGCACTATCAAGTTATTGCCAGCCACTGCAGCACAAGTTCGATCCGGCAGGCCAGGGAGCAACCCACATGGTGCAGCAGACCTCTCCTGCCTCACACGCTGCTCCCCTCTGCAGTGTATTTCAGTCAGTCTACCTGTTCTGTTCCCTACTCTGTCTCTGGTGAATCCTCTCACCCCCTGTAACTCAGTTCTACACTCCAATTCTTGTATACATAAATAAATTTTTAAAAAATAGATAGTTTAAGGTATACAGACATATATCAGCAATACTATATTATGCTTGTCACCAAAGTCCAGTTTCCATCCATCACCAAAAAAGAGAATTTTTAAATCAATAGGTCATCTAAAGTAGGGTGATTATATGTTCAGATCAGAATTTTGAAATATAGTGGTTACACATCATTTGGACCAGAGTGTCATCTTTAGACGGGTTCTAGTTTGCAAAGCATGTATACCATAATAAGATCCGTATGCAGATGAGAGTACACAGAGACTGAGTACAATCTGACATTCCTGCAACATCAGGTGTACGGTTAATGGACTCATCTTTTCTAAGAGAATATTGACCAGCTCAGTGGTGTTAGAGGCTCACGCTGAGTCACATGCAGTGGAGTTGCACACTAATCAAGCCCAACAGTTTCACATCACAACCTGTGATATTTTATGAGTTCTTTGTCAGCCATTACCCCGAAAGATGTAGAACGCTGAGGAAATGTAAGCATTTATCTTTATAATTAATTATAAAGTTATATATAATAAAGTAAGCATATTGTGTATACAATATATTGAATTATAGTTTTAAATCCTTTTTTTATTTTTAGTCAAGCCTAGTTAATTTGTAGTTTAGCATTATTAGATAGAGGCAAGTAAATTTTGTATTATTTGTTTTTAATCCTAATTTGCAGATGGCAAAACAAGCTTCACTGGACTTCTTTGTCAAGAAAAGACACGCCTTTTCTGAATACAGAGGCAATAGTAAAAGAAATGGTAACAATGGGAGTCATCCTGAAGAGGTGAAAACCAAAAGAGTTCATACTACTTTCACTCGCAAGTACGATCCCTCCTACATCGAGTTTGGTTTTGTGGCCATAATTGACGGTGAAGTGCTAAAACCACAGTGCATTATTTGTGGAGATGTACTGGCTAATGAGGCGATGAAACCGTCAAAATTGAAGCGGCATTTGTATTCAAAACATAAAGAAATAAGTTCCCAACCGAAAGAATTCTTTGAGAGAAAGAGTAGTGAATTAAAAAGCCAACCAAAGCCAGTGTTCAGTGTTTCTCACATCAACATTAGTGCTTTGCGGGCATCTTACAAAGTAGCACTTCCGGTTGCGAAGTCTAAAACGCCCTACACAATTGCAGAGACGCTTGTGAAAGACTGCATCAAAGAAGTCTGCTTGGAAATGCTGGGTGAGTCAGCAGCCAAGAAGGTGGCACAAGTGCCGCTGTCCAATGACACCATCGCTCGGAGGATCCAGGAACTGGCTAATGACATGGAGGACCAGCTCATCGAACAAATCAAACAAGCCAAGTATTTTTCATTGCAATTTGATGAATGCAGAGATATCGCAAACATGATCGTTCTTTTAGTATATGTGAGGTTCGAACATGATGATGACATAAAGGAAGAATTCTTCTTTTCAGCCTCTTTGCCAACAAACACAACTAACTCGGAACTATATGAAGCTGTGAAGAATTACATTGTCAACAAGTGTGGTCTGGAATTTAAGTTCTGCGTAGGCGTGTGTTCTGATGGTGCAGCTTCAATGACAGGTAAACATTCTGAGGTGGTCACCCAGATTAAGGAACTTGCACCAGAATGTAAAATAACTCATTGCTTCATTCACCGGGAAAGTCTTGTTATGAAAAAAATATCAGCCGAACTAAATAGGGTGCTTACGGACATAGTAAAAATTGTGAATTATGTGAAATCTAATGCATTAAATTCAAGATTATTCTCCCTATTATGTGATAATATGGAAACTGATCATAAGCAACTGCTCTTACACGCTGAGATGCGGTGGCTGTCGCGTGGGAAAGTTCTGTCGAGAATGTTTGAAATACGAAATGAACTGCTGGTGTTTCTGCAGAGCAAAAAACCAGCTTGGTCCCAGCTGTTTAAAGATGTGAACTGGACAGCCAGCCTTGCTTACTTATCTGACATCTTCAGTGTTTTTAATGATCTGAATGCGTCCATGCAAGGGAAGAATGCTACATGTTTCTCAATGGCAGATAAGATTGAAGGACAAAAGCAAAAGTTAGAAGCTTGGAAAAGGAGAGTTTCCACAGATTGTTATGACATGTTCCATAACCTGACGACACTTATCAATGAAGTAGGTAACGATCTTGATATTGCACACCTGCGAAAAGTTATCAATGAGCATCTTACAAATTTGTTAGTTTGCTTTGAATTTTATTGTCCCTCAAAAGAAGATCCATGCATAGGAAATTCATGGATCCAAAATCCATTTCTTTCATCAAAAGATCATTTAAATTTAACTGTAACTCTACAGGATGAGCTGCTGAGGCTGGCTACTGATGAAGGTTTAAAAATGAATTTTGACAATACAGCATCACTTCCTTCATTTTGGATAAAAGTGAAAAGTGAATACCCTGAACTTGCTGAGATTGCTTTAAAATCTCTCCTTTTGTTCCCCTCAACTTACCTCTGTGAGACTGGGTTCTCTACTTTAAGTGTCATTAAAACAAAACATAGGAACAGTTTAAACATCCATTATCCCCTAAGAGTAGCATTGTCCTCCATCCAGCCTAGATTAGACAAATTAACGAGCAAGAAGCAAGCTCATTTATCACATTAAAAACTTCAAATGCTGAGTTACAAAGTGTTCTTTCAAAGTCAACATATAGGCCTCATGGAAGTAGGCATAGTTGTGATTAAAATAGCAGTTTTCTAAATTGCCTATATGTATACTTTCAATTATGTGTGCAGTTTTATCCTTTTATTTTTATTTTTCACGTTTGTTATATTTATTTAAATGTAATTTTAAATAGGTTGATTCTAATATTAAAAATTTGGTCTTATATTTAGTATGTAATTTTTTATTGTAATTCATTAGGATATTAAGATGGTAGGAGGACTTCAGCATGAGGGATGATTCTTTGAAGCATCAGACTAGGTCAGTGAAGGGAAGTGAATTCAAGGAAAGAATCTTGGAAAGCAGGGTAGTGGGTAAGGTGTTGAACTTGTCAAGTGATCCTGAGCAGTTGGGTTGTAAGTTCTTTTGGTAGGTTCATGTTTAGACACAGTGGGTGAGGTGGGGAGGGGAAACCTTTGTCTTATAATACTGTTATGGCTTTGGACTCCCAAATTCAGATTTCAGAATGGTGGGGGGTGAGGCCATAGTGACAAGTTCATGTCAGGTGGAGGTTTTCAGATTTTGCCAGAGCTGATTGCCTTTAAGGTTCTCTGGGACAAAGTTGGGGATTATTGATTTCTCAAGTGGATTTAATAACCTTTATTGTAGTGAGATGACTCAGAAAAAATGCCACATATATCTGCTCTCTAATCTGTGTCCTCAGAATTACTGAAAACACTATTAGCATAAGGCAGCTTCTTCGAGGATTCTTTTTTTCTTGTTTTTAAAGATTTATTTATTTACTCATACAAGAACCTGGGTACAGGCCAGATGCTCAGGAGGGTTTAGAGGATTCAGAGACAGAGCGGGGGACAGAACAGGCAGACTGACGAAATACACTGCTGAGGGGGTGTTTTGTTTAAATGACAGCGGGCGAGACAGGAGAGGTCCGCAGCGCCATGTGGTACCCTCACTGGCCGGCTGGTATGGAACCGGTGCTGCAGAGGCTGCGGACAGCTTCACAGCGCTGCGCTCAACCGCCTGCGCCACCAGGGGAGGCCCTTCTTCGAGTATTCCTAAGAAAATGAGTTTTTTCCTAGACAGGGAAGGTACTTACATAAATGTTTCTTTTCAAAGAAATGTGATATTGAAAGCGAAGAAGGGAAAGATTTAGCAATACAAAATGTCACCAATAATTTAGCCATTTGATAAGAAAGTTCAAAGGAGTAGATGCCAAAAACCTTTGCAAGTGGAGGAGACATTTTCACATTCAGTTGTGAAGTCTCAGTAGGATTATTTTATATAGTTTGTTAATAATTAAATATTGCAGGTTTTTCCAAAAAAAAGCTGATGGTAAGTAGATTTAGGAGACAGTGTTTAATCCACCTGCCTTCATCTTACATGCCCTCTTTCCTATCTGATTATATTTTGGAAATAGACTAAAGTTTTTTAACTTTGTCATTTGTTTTATTGATTCAATAAAGTATGGTGCTTCCCATTTTCAATTTAAAAAGCAACTTGATGATTTTATATTTCTAAAAATACTTAAAAGTGGTTTGGGAGAAAATCAAGTGAGGGACAAAAAGAATGCATTTTGAATATCTGAGAAAATAATTAAAATCATCTGGGCAAGATTTTTGGTATGATGTTTTCTTGGCTATTTGAATTAGATGCCTGCCTTATATTTCCTGCAAATGACTCAGTACCATAGGTGTAAATTGCTTTACCTTGATTTTTTTAAAAACTTAGGAATATCTGTCTTTTCTCCCTCCCCAGTTTGTGTTATTGTCTTACTGTCCATTCTTTTTTATTCACCAGCTTTACTGCAATATAGTGTGTATACCGTGAAATGTTAACATGAGCCTTCTGGTGTATACCAAGATAGATTATTGTGAAGGCTCCAAACACTATAATTAGACTTCATTATGATTATTAGGCAAGAAGACATTTGTTTACCGGTTCAAAGAACATTCGATGTGCTTTGTATTCTGATACACTTGTGTTGAATTTGCAATCCATTTGTTACTATCACTGATACAATTATATTTTAAACCTTGAACTCATTCAAAAATACAAAAAGGGAAAAAAGCAGAGGACTGTCCTGGACTATATGACTTTCAAGTGTGTGATGACAATCATGATGTGTTCTAGTTTTTCTTTCAAATTAATTTCTGACTGAAATCTCTGTCATCTTTAGAAGGACAAGTTATCCAAATTACTGTTTTCCTAACTGAAAAATCTTCAGTTAGTTAATTTGAGGAACTAATAGTGATGGAAGCATGGGGTAAGGTGGAGAGCTGCAGGCTGGAAAAGGGAGCTGGAGGTCAGCAGAAGCCAATTCAGAATTAAACATGCCTTAATTGAGCCCAGCCTTAATTCTGGGGGTTTTGGAGGTCACAAAAGGATGACAAATGGAAGGTGACTTGGATTGTATTTTAGCAAGATTTCTCTGACTACCCTGCGGAAAGTAAGTTGGAGTGCTAGAGGCAAGGAGACCAAAGAAGCTTTAGTAACAAAAGACTAATGATAATGGTTTGGATAGAGGAAATGGTAGCAGGAATGAAGGAAAATGGACATATTTGAAAGACTTATGAAGATGATAGTTTACATTTCTATTGAATATACTAATAGAGTTTTCTTTTTTTTTTTTGAAAGATTTATTTATTTATGCATATAAGAACTGGGTACAGGCCAGAGGTGTGGAGAGTGAGAGGATTCACCAGAGACAGAGTGGGAAACAGAACAGGCAGATTGACCGAAATACACTGCTGAGGGGAGCAGTGGGGAGACAGGAAAGGTCTGCTGCACCATGTGGGTAGCTCCCTGGGATCGAACTTGTGCTGCAGTGGCTGCGGATAGCGTCATAGGTTGGGTCTTAACCCCTTTGCTCCACCAGGGAGGTCCTACTAATATAGAGTTTTCATACAGTATTACAACTGTATCTAAAATTCATAAGAGCAAAGGGTCAGGTTTGTTAAGGAACACTAAAAAAAAAAAAAAAAAAAAAGCAAAAAAAAAAAAAACACACACACACACAAAAAAAAAAACAAAAACAGGGCCTCCCAAGCAATCCCCTCTGCTCCCCTCAGCAGTGTATTTCAGTCAGACTGCCTGTTCTGCTCCTCACTCTGTCTCTGATGAATCCTCTCATACCCTCCAACTTCTGGCCTGTACCCCAGCTCTTGTATGCATAAATAAATAAATCTTAAAAAAAGGAATCATCTTAAATATATATATATAAAGAATTACTACAAATCAATGAGGAAAAAGGTGACTAAATGGAAAAGTTAGCAAAATAAGCACTTCAAAGAAGGAAATTACATGGCCAAAGACATACAAAAAGATACTCAAAATCATTTGTAATCATGAAAAAGCTGATTTAAATTACAAAGAAATTCTGTTTTGTTCTCACTAGTCTGGCCCAAATGAAAGTAACAAGTGTTGGCAAAAATGTGGAACAACTAAAGCCCCTACACAGTAGATTGTATGGACATGTTGATACAACCACTTTAGGAAACAATCTGAGATTGCCTAGTAAAATTGAAAATATTTGTGTGTGTCCTACAGTTTTACAAGCCCAGTCAGTTACATGTCAAGAATCTGGAGGAGCCATGTGTTTGAAAATTACATCAATATTTATAAAAGTCCATATGAGAAACCACCCAAATGTCCATTGACAGGATAATTTGACTGATATTTATTCAACAACTAGAATGAATATAGTAGTAAAAATGAGTCATCACTGAGAGAATTTGGGGGGGGGTGATGAAATGTTTTGTACCCTGATTGTGGTGCTTGTGTGCGGTGCAGCACACACACTCACACATATTTGTCAAATGTCATCAAATTAAAAGGGTGGGTGCATTTTTGGTGTGTACATTATATTTCAATGAAGTTGACTTAAAAAATGAGTGACCCACAGTCACACACAACATGGATTAAATTTAAGAATGTGGATTTAAGAAGGCCAAGCTAGAGAATAATATTCAAATATTGTTTCACTTATATTTTTTAAAGCTTTGTTAAAAGTTTTAAAAGTATGAAACCTTAAATAGCGTAAATTATATACGGGCAGGATTTACCAGTCTCAGATGAAGGAAAGAGGAACGGATTGTAATTTTGGGAGATCCACAAGGTCATACTCTATTTTTTTACATGGGTGGTAGGTGTTTTTTGTACATGTTATAAATAACCTTTAATATCTTTTCAAAGTTTAAAATATAAAAGAATTAGTTAAATAGAACATAAATCTGAAAGAAATCATACTGAAGACAGAACAGAGACATTAAGAAAAATTATGAAAGAACTGGTTGATGAGGAGAGACAGAGGAGTTCCAACATCTGTTTTTAAAGAGAATAAAAAGACCCCTGTTCCAGTTGTTGTCAAGAGACAACTGTACTCTTATCTTTTCCAAAACCTCGTTTTTTAAAAACTTTTTCTTGGATTCTATTAAGGGGGCTATAGCTTTGCTTAACCTAAAACAGGATGCCTGTGATTTGCCATGAAGAATCTTAACATAATTTCCTAAATTTGTAGAAAGAGAGGTCATACAAACAGGCCTAGTAGGAATGAGGACAAATTACAGGGAGTTAAATCCTGAGGAGGAGTATTTACAGTGACACATGCAAGAGAAAGGCTCACAGAGGAAAGGGGACAGACAGAATGACAGGGGACAACAATGAAAACACGGGTAAAATGTTGGAAGCAAGTAGAATACAGTCAAAGTCACAAGAGGAAAAATTTCCCTAGAAAAGGAAGAAGCACCTTTCTTTGAAAAAAGTAGGGAGACTTGGAATCGACTTGGGAGCACTTGAAAGGTAAGTTTTCTATACACAGCTCGCTGGGAAAAATCACCCCCCTTTCAAGTCTTACAAAAAGGCTGTTCCTTTTCCAAAATACACAGGCGTCGTTCCCGTGAGTGGGAGCACCTGTGTGACGTGACTCCTTACAAGCAAAGAGAAGGCGAGCAGGTAACTATTTCCTAATATGCCCAGGCTGGAAAGACAGAATATAACTTTTCCTTGCTCTTGGGATGGTGCATTCTCAGCAAGAGCGGTCTCGCCTGCTTTCCCCTAACACCATTTTTTGAGGCCACCTCATTCCATAAGCACTCAACAAAAATGTAAATAATGTGTTAAATGGGTGTCCCTTTACCAGAAATCCCTGTCTTTGGTGCCCACTTCCCCTCTAG